GGCTTTTTTCTTTAACTGTTGATGTCTTTCTTCTGTTTTTTCTTTGACTTTCCTTATTCACAATCCCTTCTATGTTGCCGAACATCATTCGGCTCATGTATCTTTATTTCTGACACCTTTCCCACAGACGGCGCCAATGTTGAGGGTAAATCCCGTAAATCCGAAAGCCCAACACGAACTTTGGATATATCAGGAATGGTACAGAATCAAAGTGTATAAAAAATATAAGATATGAACTCACTAATACTCGAAAGCTCACTTGTATTAACTAACCAGTCTGATTACAAGGAATTTCCCGATCGGTAGGTCGGAAACAATGCTTTAATACAAGAAATAAGAGCAATGATGCTATTCTAGAGCCTGAGTATTGAAATGCTAAGCCTCACAATGATTTTAAACCTTCTATTTATACTAATGGAGAGCATGGACTGCCCTGTGCTGATTGGCTGTTGCTTCACCGACTTGGTCACCCATGTTTCCACTTGCTGATGTCATAATCTGGCATTAATTGCACCTGGCCACTTGCCGGTTGTCCGTTGCTCGAACGGGATGTTGGACTATGCTGAAGACGCTGTCAAATTGGCCCAAGTATGATATATAGCCCGAACTCCGTTCGGTATGTCTTCTTACTGGGCCAACCTTTATTTGGGCCGAATCTCGTTCGGCATGAATTCTTCACTGGACTTTGTCATCATAGAGTGATGGGCTCGTTGCTTGGGCCGGGTATCTTGGATCTTCTTGATCCGGGTATTGGGCCTCTAGGTCAATATCCCAACACTTCCGTAGATCAAACGGCCAACATTTTGGCTGGCTGAAATTTAAAAAAAAAACTTGTTTTAGGTAGATCAAACTTTTATAGGTAAAAAACTATTTTGTAAAAAAATATTTTTTTACATCGAAATGTTTGACTTTTTAAATCATACTACCTCCGTCCGTTAAAATTTTGCCAACTTTCCTTTTTTGGATGTCCCACTAACTTTGCCATTTTCCCTTTTAAGTAAAGAATTTGTGCTTCCAGTTAATTCTCTTTCCTCAGCACAAACCTTAATCACATAGTTTTTACTTTATTAATCCCCATGCCGCTCAAACTTGGCAAAATTTTAAGGGACGGAGGGAGTAAATTTTTGTAAAAAAAGTGTCATATAATTAATGTGTGATAATAAAAGTAAGGATTTAGACATTTATTTAAAAAAACTGTGCTGAGTAAATATATTGACGGTGATGGGCTACAGAGAGAAACTGATTGACTGAGTGAATAAGTATGAAATGCAGGTAAATTTGATTTATTGACGGGTGCGGATTCTGGACGACCTAAGTAGGACATTTTGTTTTGAATCCTAACGCCATTGATGAAATAGAAGAAGGTTTTTGTGATATCCTGACGAATGACCTCTAAAAGAATGTTTCTGTTTTGTCCTTTTGCATTTCCATAACAATTTCTCCTGCTTTCTAAATTCAATTTTGCTATAGATACCCCATACTTACCTCATTTCCTACCCCATATAAATACCTCCTTTTTTACCATCCCTTTTACCCTCTTTCCAAAAACCCTTCCCCCCTCCCCCACTTTTCTTCTCCTTCCCTCTCTCTCTCCTCCATCTTTTCTTTTCACTCAGCCCCCCTCATCCCCTCCCCTTTCTTTTTTTTTTCTCCAAAACTTGATTTCTTCTCCATTTCAAGACCTCTTCCCATTTAGTCTTCTCATTTTTACAATCTTTTCTCCCTCCAAGCTTCTTCTCTTGCTTCTCTCCTCTTCTGCCTTTTTTTTCGTTTCAAATGGAAGAGCTACAATAATCGGACGAAGGGGAGAAGCTCGGTGACGTGGGGAGTTGTGTCTAAGGTAACCATCCCTTCTCAAATCATGAGTTACGTACTCCATTTACGATTTTTCTTCATATGTGTTTTTTATTTTTATTTTTTCCTTTTTTCGATTTTATGTATATTATGTATGATATAAAAGTGAATAATTGATTATTTTGTTTCATTGTAATGATTTTGAGGTGTTACCTAATTAAAATTTTAGTGTAATTTCTCAATTTCATTTTATGCCCATAACATGTTTGTAGAAATTACTCAATGAAGTTTTTGTTGAAATTCAAGACTTTTTTTCCATTTTTTGTACCTCAATGTTTAATGAGTATTTTTATGGATTTCCAATTTAATATGATATAGTAATTTAATTGATGTTTTGGAAAAGAGTATGTTGTTTTTTTGTAATTTGTTTGTATTTTGTTTGACGGACAGACAATTTAGAACTGCAGTGTCTGTCTAGCCTAAAGTGAACACGGTTTTGTCTTTAAGTCTGGGCCAATTAACTACTCTCTGTCTTATAGCCAGACAAATTTTGTCTGGTCCAGACATTGGTAGTCTGGGCCAATTAACTACGCTCTGTCTTACAGCCAGACAAATTTTGTCTGGGCCAGACATTAGTAGTCTGGGCCAATTGACTACTCTCTGTCTTACAGCCAGACAAATTTTGTCTGGACCAGACATTAGTAGTCTGGGCCAGACATTAGTAGTATGGGCCATTTAACTACTCTCTGTCTTACAACCAGACAAATTTTGTCTGGGCCAGACATTAGTAGAGTGGGCCAATTAACTACTCTCTATCTCACAGCAAGACAAAAGTTGGTTGTGTCAGACAACAGTTGTCTCTTCCAGACAAATTGATTATGCCTCACATATGCTATTTGTACCAAATATGTGTTCTCACTACGTGTTGTGTATTAATCGTAGGTATTCACTTCAAGATGACGAATGACTTCAAATGTAAGGCTGAAAAAGAGTTCCAAGCGGACGCTAATTCATTTACAAAAATTATACCAAGTGTGACTTCTTTTGCAATGGAGAAATAAATGCAAGGATGCTGAAGTATATAGTGTTGGGGGAATGTGTCCGTTTTGAACTTGTGATTTTTTGAACATGTATTTTTTTCATATTACAATTGGGAAAATGTGTTGAATATTGTACAATGTTACATGTTCAATGTTGAACAATTGGATTCAGTTTTTTGAACATGTGTAAATTTTTGCAAATATTACATTTACAATTATCCACTTATGTATGTTGATCTTTTGTTTGTTTGGTTATCTGCGGTATTGTCTATATGTGTAAATTTTTTGTCTTTCTGCGTGAAAGTAATGTATGTCTGGTTATCTGTGTTGTTTTTCTATATAACGGTTGTGTTTCACCTATCATAGTCTATTTAGACTTATTTAAATTACTTCTTTATTGGGGAACTCCATACCAACACATACAATATTATACATGTTTGATTTTCACCAAATTCATTTGTACATTAACAAATATAATCATATCTCCGAACACTTTTATATAACCACATTAACAATTACTAAACTCATCAAAATGTACTATAAAATAACTAAACTCGTCAAAACAACCCACAAATATACATTCCCACATTAATAACAATTCCTATGCTTCCTCCACCTTGTTCCACATATTTTCATACTCGCAACCTGGAATCAATGACTTTTCCATTTACAGGTGCTCTGCAAAGGAAGCCACCATCACTCATTCTCCCGACCTGTAGACAGACAACTCTGAATAAAGGCCAGACATTTTATATCACATTACAGACAATTTGTTACAATACATATGTAGACAGACAGACTATTTTCACATTGCATACAACTCAAATAGAATGCCAGACAACGCTTTTCACATACAGACAACTGGGTTGGGAACTGTTGAGGTTGGTGCGGGAAGGGAGTTCTTGGAAAGTTGCTGGGGAAGGAAAAAAGTGGGAGGAGTGGGAGATTTGGAAGTGGAGATGAGGGGGAAGGTTGTGGGGAGGTGAGGGAGGGGAGGTGAAGTGAGGGGGGTAAATTTTTTAGAAGGTATTTATATGGGGTATAAAATGGGGTAAGGTTGGGGTACCTATAGCAAAATTGTTCTAAATTTATACGGAGTTATTTTTTTTTTTTTGGAATCATATACGGAGTAATTTTTAAGAGGTAATTACCTAAATGGGAGTAAATACATCTTTAATTGTCAAAATAGGACTAAAGTTTAAAAATTCCCAAAATAGGAGTTATTAATTGTAATTGGACAAAAACACCCCTGAAGCTTGGAAAATCGTACTGCCACCGACAGAACGCCGGACCGCCTCAGGTTGCCGGCCGCCACTGACGACCGCTGCTGCAGAATGGTCGCCGTTGCATATCTGCCCGTGTCCGCCGCAAATCTGGCTGCGTCCGCCGCAGATCTGGCCGCCGACACCGTAGATCAGGCCACCGCCACCAACCCCCGGCCGCCCCTACAGATTTGGCCGCTGCCACTACAAATCCGACCTCCGCCACTGCACACCCGGCCTCCGCCGCTGCAGATCCGACCAACGACGCCGGTTATGTCAACATTTTATCAAAATGCCATCATAAATTGAGAATGCCATCTAAATGGCATTTTCAAAGGAAAACATGAAATTTTTTGAAGAGGATAAATGCCATTTTATGGCATTTTCAAACGAGATATGGAATTTTTTAACAACCAAATATGAAACAGAGCTTTGGTCATGCAACGAAAAGATGAATCAGGGATACCATTGTAATGGCATTTTCAAAGGAAAATAGAAAGTTTTTGTAAAATAAGATTGCCATTTTGATGGCATTTTCAGTGTTGAACTTGATATTTTTATCAATCAAAGAAGAAATCGAGCATCTGCAACGAAATAGAAGAGGGAGAGAACTGGAGAAGAGGGGAGGAAGGAGAGAACCTACCTTTGAAGAAGAGAAGATCTCTGACGGCGACGGCGGCGGTGATGGCTATGACTGGGCAGTGGCGGAGAACCTCACGTCAGCGGCGGCAGGCTCGACGCTTTGGTTGTTCCAGTGCGAAGGGGAAGGAGAAGAAGGTGTATTGCGCAAGGGGGAGATGTGCAGGGGAGCAGGGGGGAAGATGCATCGCAAGGGAGAAAAAGAAAAGGAAGAGGAGAAAGGGAAAGAATAGGGGTAAATGGTAATCCAGTCTCATTTAGGGCAAAAAAAATATGATTAATCCTATTTAAAAGTTTCACCAATAATTTAGTCTCTTTTAGGGTAATATTTCAATTTTAAATTACACATAAGCATTTGAACTCTACGATTCGAACTCTACAATTCATTTTTAACCCATTTGTTTTTACACATACAGCATTTGTTTCATCCCAAATCATTCGAACTCTACAATTCCGTGAATATATTTTCAACCCATTTCCCATTGTAACACAATCACAGCTTATGTGTAGAACCAAAATGGCCGTCAACGCTTCATCGCCGGCACCGAGCCCATCACAGCCATCATCCCGAGTTTCCGTCTTCTCATCCACGCCTCGAATCGCAAATTCCAGATCCTCAGAGCCGCCAATCAGCGTTAACACCTCCGCCGAATATAATTCCGCAGCCACCAATTCTCCCAGCTTCCGCCTTGATACTTCTGTCGCCACAGCCGCCGTTTCCAGCTCGTTGTCCAACCTCCGGCAATCTCTACCGGACAGACCACAGGTTTACGATTTTTCTGAAATCCGAGCTGCAACAAACAATTTCCTCTCGAAGCGCTACTCCTCCACCTCTTCTTCCCAATCGTGGCAGTGCGTCCTGCACGGCAAACAAGTCATCATATTCCAGCGAATCGTTCGGAGATCCATAGAGAAATCGGGACTAAGAGCCAAGTTATCGATAATTTGCCGGAGCCATAACCGGAGTATAGTCAAGCTCCTAGGCGCGTCAATCTCAGGCAATCAGATTTACCTTGTTTACGAATTTGTTCCTGGATCCAACCTCGCCCTGTGTCTTCGAAACCCTAGAAACCCTAGCTACACAGTGATTTCCACTTGGTTATCGAGAATGCAAATCGCTACAGACGTAGCTCACGGATTGGATTATATACACAATATGACGGGACAGGGTTCGAATTCGGCCCACAAGCATGTGAAGAGCAGCGGGATTGTTATCACCGAGCCGTCATTCAACGCTAAGATCTGTCATTTTGGAGCGGCGGAGCTCTGCGGCGAGACCGAGATCCCGTCCCTCAGCAGCGGCGAGAGTACAGAGGAACTCTGTTCGACAGAATTGAGATCTGAGAAGCGGAACCGGCAATTCGAAGGAGTAAGCGGTTATATGTCTCCGGATTTCCAGCTCTCTGGCATCGCGACGCCGAAATCCGACGTATACGCATTCGGAGTTGTGCTTCTGGAACTTTTCTCCGGCGAGGAGCCGGTTAAGTTCAAATACGATAAGTCGAGCGGAGAGTACATGAAAATTTCTGTAGTGGAGACGGCTAGAGATGCAATTGGTGGCGGCGCCGCCGAGGAGATGGAAAGGGGGCTGAGGCAGTGGGTGGATGGGAGGCTGAAGGACTCGTTCCCGGTGGAAGTAGCGGCAAAGGTTATCAGGCTGGCGCTAGATTGCATCCACGTGGACCCAAAAGAGCGGCCCGATATGCGCCGCGTGTCAGGGAAAATATCGCAACTCTTTTTGGAATCGGAATATTGGTCGGCCCAAGTTCAAGTTCCTACCGCAATATCTGTATCATTCACGCCTAGATGATTAAAAAGATTAAATCACGTAAATCATGTCAAAAATACAATTATAGAAGAATATGTTACGAATCTTATAAAATGGAAGGAAATAAGCAGAAGATAAGGGAGAGAAAATATAGTAGGAACACTTAGTGATAGAGATGTATTAGAGATGTTCTAATGGTGTCTTTACAATGAAGGAGAATACTTCTATATAATCTTGTCTAGATTAGGGGCTAATTGTGAGTCATACAATTACCATCTAGAAATCATAATTATGTTTTCTTATTTATATTAACAATGATGATAATGTGTTCCTAATCATGAATAGTTAGAAGATGACTAATTCAACTTTATTTCAACACTCCCCCTTGAATAATCATCTTCTAATTATTCTGGGTATTAGTATCATAGTATTATAATGTACTGACTCGTTAAAAACCTTTGTCAGAAAAAACCCAGTGGGATAAAAACCCGACGAAGGAAAAAAGAGTGCAGTGCATTATATTACTCCCCCTCAATTTAACATATATCATGAAGACCACACATTCCAATTTTGTGGATCAGTTCTTCCAATTTCTTCGGTGCCAATGACTTTGTGAATAAATCAGCAGGGTTGTCACAGGACTTGATTTGTTTGACATCAATTGTTCCTTCTTTCTCAAGATCATGTGTGGAGAAAAGTTTTGGTGTTATATGCTTTGTGATAGAGTAATTGTCTAGAGAGAAGTGAGAGCTAGAGAGAAGTGCAATAATATGTTTCAATAGAATGATTTTGTAACCCCTACAACTACTCCCAAGGGGAGTATTTATAGAGAAAATACGGGCTGGGCTTCCAAGCCTTGGGCTTGGGAGGCCCATTTACAACTGGACCGCTACTGGGCCGAGATACAAAGTGATAAGAATGATTAAGTATGAAATCTGGTTCTGTGAGGTCTTCGTGGCCGACGAGGGCGTGGCCGACGAGGGCACGGCCGACGAGGGCACCCAGGTTCCTTGGCTTCAGGACCATATTCTGAGTTGGTACCTTTCCGGCCGACGGGGGTCCCTTGGCCGACGAGGGCACCACTCAGTGTCTTGTGCTTTCTGTTCTTCTGAGTATGTGGGTCCTGGGGCTCAGACCCATATACTCCATCAGGAGTCCCCCACTCTCTAAGCTGAGACGTAGACGAAGTGAAGGAGAGTAGATTCCCGTGCTTTGGTGCTTTTGGCCGATGCGGGCACTCCCAGGCTGTTAGCTGTTGCGGCGTTGGCGCTGTTTCCATTTTGGTGATCTTGTTCTGTGCTTGGCCGTTACCTGCTCCTCGCTGTGGACGGGGAGGCCGTTGTTTCCTTGGTGTGTTCGTTTGGGGACGATGAGTGTCATGCTTCGATGGTGGCCGTTGAAGGCGCGTTTTCCCTTTCTTAGACGTTGATGGTTGAGATTTACATTTGGGCCGATGAGGCCGTTGAGGTTGAACCTTGCTCCGAGGACGATGGGCGTCCTTTCCTTTGGGTGGCCGGTGAGGGTGCTTGCGCACTCCTTTTGGCCGTCGCTGATTGGCTTTCGTGTTCTTGGCCGAAGAGCCCATTATGATTAACTGTTGGCGGAGGACGATTAATGTCCTTGCCTTAGGTGGCCTGTTGGCCGTTGCTGATGGTGTTATGTGCCTTTGGCCGACGAGGCGCCGTGTTGTCCAAAGTACCTGGCCGGAGATGGAGTCACGAAAACCTTGGCGCCGTTGTGATACATGGACGATGTGGCCATGCTTTGTGGTTACATTTGTGTTCTTTGCATTTTTCCTTTGTCTGTATTGTTGAGGCCGATGTAGTCCCCCAGTCCCCCACTGCTTCAGGCCGAAGAGTGTGAGGGGTGAAGGAGTTGCTTGAGTCCCTGGCCGAAGCGGCCTCTCCGTAGTGCCCCTGAATCCAACCCTTATGGCGATTTTCTGGCCAAGGTAACCCTGTGGGAGAACCCTTGTGCGTAGATCGCTTGTAAAGAGTTATCATCAGGGGTCGTTACGAAGGCCGATGGCTGCGGGTTCTTTGTTCCTTTGGTTCTGTGGCCGTTACGGGTGTTCATGACGTTCCTAGCCGTTGTCATCTCCTTATCGCTGTGGAGGCATTGGGTGCCTTGGCCGTTGCGGGCGCTTTGCTGGCATTGTGAAGCCGGAAAGCGTATAGGCCGTTGTGGGCGTTCGTTGTCCGTGTGATCCGTAGGGTTTTACTCTGCCGGTAGGTTAGTTCACGAGCCCGGCCCATTTCCGAAGGGGTGGCATCTCATTGGCTGCTGGGAAGGTGACCGCTGAGGTGGCCACTGATATGGTGCCACGTGTAGTGACCGTCGGAGAGGAGGTCTATAAATACCCCTCCCCTTCCGACGCGGTAACCTCATTTGTAATCTGTGCCCACGAAGTGCTGCTGAAATTTCTAGAGAGAGAGTCTCTGAGGTGTTTGTTCAAGTGTTCTTCCGTTTCTTCAAATATTCGAAGGTCAGTTCTTCACCTGTTCCTTTCATATTTCGTATACTTTGCTTCCTGGGCCTTTGATCTAGTGCTAATAGGGGATTCACACTTAGATCCAAAGTAGAGACCTTTAGGGCGTTAATAGTTGTAAGATGAAGAGTTTAGACGAGGAGTACTACCCCTACGACGACCAGCCCTCCACTAGGTCCCTTGACTACGAGGTGCTTGAGGAGTTTGAGGAGGAAATAGAGCATCTGAGCCCCTATGTTGGTCCCGGTTATACTGGATACAGTCTAGAGGGGGGGGGGGGTGAATAGACTGTATTGGTTTTTAGCTTTTTAAACTAAGTACCAGATTTAAAGAATAGCCTGTTCTGTTGAAAGAACAGACTGGCAGCGGATGGGGTTCTGGTAGGGAGTTCTGTTAGCCTCAGAGAAGCAATAGGCAGTAGGCCTTCTGTTAACTCGTAGAACAAGTTCTGCTGAACACAGGTACCAAGTCCAAGGAGTTATATAGTTCTAACTAAGTGCAAGTATTAAAAGCAATAAGTAAACGACACCAGGGATTTTTATAGTGGTTCAAGGAACAACTCGTTCCTCTAATCCACTGTTCCACTAAGATGTAAAAACTGCCGTTTACAAAGCCTTAGTCCTAGTACTTAAGAAGCACTCCACGTCTTCTTCAAGCCTAGATGTGTCCTGGGATGCACTGCCTGGCTTCCTTTAACACTGGTCCTTTCACTGAGTTTCCTTGAAGTATCACCACTTCACTACTCCAGTTATTTGGACGTCCTTCTTGTAGCAAGAAGAGTTTCTGTTGAAACTGGGGTTCCTCCAACTAGCTTCGTTACAAAAGATTTGTATGTGATGAGCTTGAAGAGTTGAAGAACACTTGGAACTTTGCTTGAGTTGGAAAGAGTATTTTTCCAACTTCTGCCTTCTCTTGTTGAAGATAATGAGTTTGAATCTCAAGGAGGCTTTTTGCTTTTCAGAGTTTGAATATCTTGCTTGTAGTTAGCAAAAGTTGCAATGTAATCTTGGCAATGTTATAGCAAAGTTATCCGGTTGTTCTTCGTAGTGTATCTTTTTATATTGAGGTTGTCTTCCCGTTGGAGGAGTAGGAGGACAACTGCATTTAATGCGCGATCAGTTGACTTGACTAGTAGAGCCCGATAAAGTTGGCGGGTTACTATTTTGGGATAAAGTATTCCTGACATTGCGGCCAATCATCTGCAATTACTCTACGTAGCATGGGGTGCATTAAATGAGCATTTAATGCATGCACTGTAGCTTTTCCGTTTCATACTCCTAGCCGTTGAAGGAATCTTTTAGTTGACTTCCCGGTTCTTTGAAATTCTTCTAAGTGTCAGACCTTCTGGCGTCTTTGTCTGAGAGTAGAACAGAGGAGGTCTGGAGCACTTCTGTTGGGAGTATCCAACAGAGACCCAGAAGGGTTTCTGTCAGAGTCAAGACTAACAGAGATCCTGAGGACTTCTGTTCTGGAGCAGAGAACCAAATGTCCTCTGTTTCAATAATGCCTTAAGAGGCACTTCTGCTCTCGAGGTCCTTCTGCTCTTGAAGCCCTTCTGCTCTTGAAGGTCTTCTGTCAAGTCGAATACTTCTAAGAACTTTACAAAGGAAAGTTCTAATACATAATTTCTAAAGGGGTATTCTAAAGTCCTAATTAATCTAGCATCATCAAAATCTAATTACAATTATTCCTTACACCCTATAAGTCTGGAGAGCCGGAGGACGACGAGGGTAAGGACGAGGAGTCTTCCTCGTCTTCGAAAGGCGAGGACGCAGGTGCGTCCCGAGTGGTGGACGGGGCGTCCCCTTCCACTGCTATTCCGTGCCCGAAGCCGGTGTCCGCCGTGAAGGGAGCAGAGAGGCCGAAGAGGATAAGGAGGCCGAAGAGTGGGCCAGGGTACTCCTACCTGGATCTCACGAATATCTACCTTATCAAGCCAGAGAGCAACGCGGCCGATTACTTAGTCGCGCAGATGTATGTGGGGCCGTTCGGGAGAGTTAGGGCACCCAGGGCGACGGACCATGTACTTAATCCGCCGCCGGGATACTTCGGAGTGTACCCGATGAGCTTCGCCAAGGGGCTGAGATTTCCCCTTCATCCCTTCATCACGGAATACTTGGACATGGTGGGAGTTCTTCCGGCCTTGCTGCCCCGAACACCTACTCGTTGATGGTGGGATTCTTGCTCCGCTGTGAAGAGTTGGGCTACAAGTCGACGACAGCTCTCTTCATGAACCTCTATCAGATTGGCCGAGGAAGCCACAAGAACTGTGCGGCCTACGCTACCCTCCAACAATTGCCAAAGAAGAGGAGCTTCACGCACTTGCCTTCGTCCATCCATGGTTGGAAGAGTAAGTTTGTTTTCGTGTCCCTTGGTGAGAACGACACTGAATTTCCCTCTCTCGGCCATACTGGGAGGTTCAATCTGCACGACCCGCCGAAGAGTTCGATCTTGGACGCTCAGGTGGAGGCGTTCCTGGACGGGGGGCCGAGGAGCGTGAAGGATTACATTACCGAGTATAAGATGACCGCCCTTGGCTTCTTCAGGTATTATGTGTATGGTGACAAGGAGGACGATGCCCAATTGTGGCCGAGGATGACCGCTACCTTTGAGGAGGCCGACGGCCCGGATTTGGGCATTCCCGCTGAAGCCGATGGTAATACTTCCTCCGGCTTTCTTCCTTTGTTTTTGTTCCTTTACCTTGCTAACCTGTTTATTTTCCTTTGTGTAGACTTTGTGATGGATCGCCGTTCGATAATGGCCAAGGCCAAGGCCAAGGCCAAGGCGGCCGAGGAGCTGGCTGCGAAGGCGGCCGAGGCGGCGAGGCGTGCCGCGGCCGAGGGAGGCTGCTGCTGGTGTAGTCCCGAAGCCTGCCCAGCCAAAGAAGAAACGGCCTCCCACTGACGGCCAGAAAAAGCTGACCGAGGCTGGTCTGAAGCCCGCCAAGAAGACGAAGAGGGCGCCGTCTCCTTCCCTTGCCGATGAGGTCGGCGTTCTGACCGTCCCAAATGTGGACGATGGTGGTTCTGGCGCTGCTGTCGCCATTGTGGATCTTACCGCTGCTCCTTCCAGCGACGTTGCTCAACCGCTCCCTCTCGTCCAGGAGACTCGGACGAAACGGGCTGGCAAGGAGATTGCCACTTCTACTTACCAGAAAGTGGTGGGGTACCCCGTTGGCGGGGGTGTCTTCGATGATGGCGTTGACAGCCATGATGTGCTTGCCCAGGCCATGCCGGCCAAGGATCGGGTCTACCTCGACAAGCTCGGGGATGTCAAGATCTATGAAGGCGGGATGGACCTCATCGTCCAAGTAAGTTCCTTTCCCTTTGATTTGTTGTTTTCCTTGTCGTCTGTGTGAAGTCATTGCCTGAGTTTTGGTTTGCCTTTGCTTTGCAGGGTGCCTTTATGCTCATGGAGAGCAACAAAAGGCAGCAACGGGAGATTGCTCGCCTGAAGGAGTTCGAGCAAAAGGCTGCCTCGGCCGATGAGGCGATGACCTGCTTGGATCGGCTTCGAGAGGATGCCAAAGCTCTGCAGAAGAGAGCCGATGAGGCTGCTGCAGCCAAGGACGATGCCCTGGCCAAGCTTGCGGAGAGCCAGAGGGCACTTGAGGTTGAGCGGCGCATGACTGATGAGACCGTGAAGGCTAAGATTGAGGCCGAGGCTGCTGCTGTGAAGGCCGCTGATGAGGCCGTCCAAAAATTCCTGACCGAGGGCTGGAAGGCCGACGAGCGGCTCCCCTGGTGCTATGAAGTTGTGGCCGCCAAGCTCGAGGATTGGGGAATGAACTCCCCCGCCGGCCAGGAGTACTTTCAAAGGGAGATGTCCGTGTACTACAACATGGGCCAACAACAGATGCAGAGGCTCCTATGCCGGCGGCTGGGGCGTGCCCTTAAGGCGATGAACTACACCTCTGGGTGGGCGAGGCGGAACCTGAGGCTTCCCAGGCTGATGAAGGATCCCGAGGAGCAGGCCAAGCTCCCCCCTTCGGAAAGGGAGGCCCCGATCGATAGTTCCGGCCTCGGCGAGCCGGACTACGATGAGTTTGATTATTTGGACGACGCTACGAGCTCTGCAGTCGCTGTCGGTCAGGACACTGAGGCCGAGGAGGAAACCGAGGATGCCGATGAGCAGACCCATGCTGAGCATGTTGCAGATGAAGGCGCCCAGGAGGTGTGATCGGCCATTCCCTTACCTTTTATTTGTAATTAGTAGCATCCCAATTAGCGCCCCCCTTTGTAATTAACATTTTGATGAATGAATGCTCTGCCGGCCTCTTCGACTGTTGATGTCTATGCTTGTTTCCTTTGCCTTTTCGATTTTGAAATTTGTCTAAGTGTTAAGTTAACAACTTAGGTCACCCGCGAGTGTTTGCTACGTCCGTAAGGTAGTCAATTTAGTCTGGTGGCCTTATCGGCATGTCCGCCGTTTCTTCGCTGTCGCAACACTTGGGATTTCTTCAAAAAAATTCTAAGTGTTTGAGATCCACTTAGGTGCTTCCTTTCCGTCATGACCGAAGCGGGCATGCTGGGGTGTCCGCTGCGTCTTGGCATTGTCTCAATCCTCTTGTTGTTTGGTCTTAGAATTTTTCTAAGTGTCCAACTTCAAGTAGCCCCTTTAGTGTGGTGTCTTCCGCGGCCAACTAGAATGGTGTGGCCGATACGTGACGCCCACCGTCTGTGCTGTAGGGTTCCACAACTGTGGACGACGCGGGTGGCCGCCTCGTCCACGCTTCCTGTGATCATGTAGGCCTCGTTCCTGCCATCGTATTGCCTTCCTCATCCTGACGTTTCATCCTGATGCTAAGTGTTAGGGGGAGACTTCCCCGTTTGCCTGCCTTCGTGCCTTCATCGGCTTGGTGCTTTTCCTTTCGGACGTTTTCCGTTTTTGCTTCACCAAACCCATTGGGTTAGGATTTTGGACGTACGTGCTTCGTCTGTGACGCTTTCCTCGTCTGTGATGGACGTGTGGCCGTATCGTCCATGTCACCTGTTAGTGGTACTACACTTATGTTCAACTGATATGTACTTAGCCAAGTTTGGCATGAGTTGTGGGGATTTTATTTTTTCATTGCTCGAGGCCGGCAAGTGCGCGCGGTCCTCGGCTTCCCTCTTTTATTTCCCCTTTTTCCTTTCCTTTTTTTATTTCCGTTTCCGTTCCCTATTTCGGGGAGTATCCTTCTTTCAGGCTTCGGCCGAAGGGTGTGCTCGTCCTTCGGCCGGTTCGGACTTCGTTTATAACGTCCGTGATCTCAGGGGGGTCCCGTCGCCTATTTATGACGCGGGCTAGACTTTTGGTTGGTTTCCAATGGCTGCCGTTGCCCAACCCTGAGTGGGGGGATTCTGCCACCTCGGCCATGATTTCAGGCCCGTTGTCCTGCGATCTGGCGCGTGGACGACGCGGTGAACTTCCCATTTTAAGAAGTGGGCCTTCATCGGCCCCTCGTCCCGGGGACATCGTCGGCCATACCTGAGCGTTTCACTCTAGGCTTACGGGGACAGGACGATGTGCTCTCTCAGCTAGGCCTGAGCCCTTCGCTGATACAAAATACAATGGAGTATGCCTGAGCTTGTCGCTCGTAGGCTGCAAATGCAAGGTGCCACGTCGGCCATGCCTGAGTCTTTCGCTCTAAGGTGGCTGATGAGGGCACCTGCTAATATTTTACTTTAAATTCCAAAGAAAAAATCAAGAGGAACATGATTTTATTCATAAGTGGCTCGAGGCCGAGGGTGGCGTTCAATCAGTAACCCGTTAAGGGGTGAGGGCTTCGCCGTCTGCACCTCCTTTGGATTACTGATAAAACTTCACCAGATGGTGTACATTCCACGTTCGTGGTACATTGGACCCATTCGGGCGTTTAAGCTTGTAGGTGCCGGGTTTGACCACGACACTGACGATGTAGGGCCCTTCGTACTTCAATGCTAGCTTGCCACCCTCCGTCGGCTGGCTTGCTTCCCTTCGGCGGAGGACGTAGTCCCCCACCTGAAATTCCCTCGAGCGTACCTTGGCGTCATAGTATGATTTTACTTGACGCCGGTAGTTCTCTGCTCGGATGAATGCTTGCTCGCGTCTTTCTTCGACCAGGTGGAGGTCGATCTTCATGTTTTCCTCATTAACCCCTGGGTCATACTGCTCCACTCGTCGGCTGGGAATGGTGACCTCTGTGGGTGCCTTAGCTTCAAAGCCATAGCACAGGGAAAAAGGTGTTTCACCCGTCGCCCTCCTTGGCGTGGTACGATAGCACCACATGATGTTGGGGAGCTCGTCGACCCAGCTCCCTCCTGCGTCCTGTAGGTTCTTCTTCAGCCCTTCCATGATGGTTCTATTGGCGTTCTCAACTTGCCCGTTGCCTTGAGGGTAGGCAACGGAGGAGAAACAGTGTTTTATCCCCCATTCTCGAAGGAGCTCTTGGAAGGGCGCCGCTTCAAACTGGGTGCCGTTGTCGGATATGATCTCTTGGGGGACACCAAAGCGGGTGAGAATGTTCTTGTGAACGAACTTCTGACACCTGGCCCCCGTGATGCTGGCCAAGGGTTCCGCTTCGACCCACTTAGTGAAGTAGTCGACTGTGACGATGATGTAGCGGTTGTTGCCGGCAGCTCTGGGCAGAGGGCCGACCAGGTCAATCCCCCACCTTCAGAACGGAATAGCAGTGCTGACGGGGGCGTAGTTGACGGCTGGCCGACCAGGGGCCTTCTGGAGTACCTGGCACGTGGTACACTTCCTGGCCAGGTCCGCACAGTCTCGCACCATCGTCGGCCAGAAGAAGCCCTGGACGACGAGACGCCAGGACATGCTGAAAGGACCCTGGTGTGAGGAGCAAACACCACAATGAACTTCTTCCATGGCCACGTCGGCCTCGTCCTGGTGCAGGCATCGAAGGAGAGTGCCATTATAGGATCGTTTGTAGAGTTTGCCATCTTCAATGGTGTAGCTTGGGGCCCTGAGTTTGGCGAGTTTGGCCCTCTCCTCGTCCGGGGGCAGCTCCCCCGTCGTGATGAAGGTGATGATGTCGGAGATCCAGTCCTCCGGTCGCTGTTGGACGCACAAGACGGGGCTGGCATGGATGCTGTACATGCTCAACTCCTCGATCTTGGCTAGCTGGGAGATGTGCTCCGGGGTGTCTGAGCTGAGTTTGGAGAGGATGTCGGCCTCGGCGTTCTCGGCCCTTGGGATCTGTGTGATCTCGTGGGTTTCGAACGCCTTCAGCAGCTCCTCTGCTGCTTGTTTGTACTGCTTCATCCGGCCTTCCTTTGCTTCGTACATACCCTCAACCTGGCCCACTACCAGCTTGGAGTCGCACCTGATTTTGATGTGTCGGGCTCTGAGGCTGGCGGCGAGTCTGAGGCCGCTGAGGAGGGCCTCATACTCGGCTTCATTGTTGGATACCCTGAAGTTGAAGCGGATGGCATAGTAAGCTCTGAATCCTTCAGGGGATATGAGGACGACGACGCCACCGCATGATTTTGCGGCCGACGAGCCGTCAGTGAAGAGGATCCATGTGTCATCGGGCTCTAGCCCGGGGGCGGTAGCGGCTGTCTCCCTTGTCGTGCATTCGGTGACGAAGTCGGCCAAAGCTTGCCCTTTGATGGATGGCCTTGGCTTGATTTCAATCTGAAATTGACTGAGGAAGATTGCCCATTTCACCATCCTTGAGGAGCTAGTGGGGCTCCTCATGAGCGCGCCGAGGGGCTGCTGGGTCAGCACATGGACGGCATGGGCCTGGAAGTAGTGCCCCAGCTTCTTCACCGTATGGACGATGGCCAGCACCGTCTTCTCAATGGGGGAGTACCTGAGTTCGGCCTCCCTGAGTGTCTTGCTGATGTAGAAGACGACCTTCTGCACCCCTTCATCCTCACGGATGAGCACAGAGCTGATGGCCGACGTGCTCACCCCTAAGTACAAGAAGAGGGTTTCGCCGGCTTTGGGCTTGGATAGCACGGGCGGGGACGATAGGTACCTCTTCAGCTCTTCGAACGCCTCCTGGCACTCCGTCGTCCACTTGAAGCTATTGGCTTTACGCATGATCTGGAAGAAGGGGAGTGCCCTTGCGGCTGACCTGGAGAGGAAACGGTTCAGGGCCGCCAGGCGCCCCGTCAGTCGCTGTACTTCCTTGACATTGCGGGGCGGCTCCATGTTGATGATGGCCTGTGTCTTCTCCGGGTTTATCTCGATGCCTCTCCGGCTGACCATGTAGCCGAGGAACTTGCCGCCCTAGACGCCGAAGGCGCACTTCTTGGGGTTGAGGCGGAGCCTGAACTCCTTCATGATTTCAAAGATTTCCCGGAGGTCGTCGGCATGGGTGGAGGTCTGCCTGCTCTTGACGATCATGTCGTCGACGTATGCCTCCATCGTCCGGCCGAGGACTGCTCTGAAGATCTTGGCCACCATCCTAGTATAGGTGGCGCCGGAGTATTTGAGTCCGAAGGCCATGACGAGGTAGCAAAAGATTCCCTCCGGGGTCATGAATGCCGTCTTCTTAGCGTCATCTTCATGCATGGAAATTTGGTGGTACCCTCTGAAAGAATCAAGGAACGACATCAACTTGCACCCCGCCGTCTCGTCCACCAGCTGATCAATGTTGGGGAGAGGGAACGGGTCCATGGGGCACGCCTTGTTCAGGTCAGTGTAATCAACACACATTCTGAATGTCAGCGGTTTTTGGGCGAGGACGACATTGGCTAGCCACGTCGGGTACTTCACCTCTTTTATGTGGCTGATCGAGAGGAGCATGGCGACCTCCCCTTTGACGAAGTCCCGCCTGTCGGCGGATAAGTAGCGCCGCTTCTGCTTGACGGGCGCGGAGGCTGGATCGACGGTCAGCCGGTGAGTAATCACCTGGCGGCTGAT